TTAGACTCTTGAACTTTTAGTATATATTTTATTTGTATGGCTGATTCCTTTTAGCTGTTTGAGATAGGAAAGGGTTGCCTAGGAATGCTGAAAAATGTAAGCATATGTTACAGTATATGTTCCTTAATTTGAATGTAGGTATGTCGAGTTGTATGTGGTCACAATATCTTTTTCTCACCTGCTTGACCAGTATCTATTCTATCTTTTTCCTTAGTGTGGAATTCTTGGAATATTATTGCTGATTGCTACTGTGTCTACTATGTGTATTTAAAAAAACTATTTAAGAAATCACTTTACAATAGTAATACTAACCTTTTTTCACCTCATAATTGTGCTTTAAAATTTGTAAGTATGTATATTAGTCATTAATAGATTCTTTAGAAATGTCAAATATTTATGGAATTATTCCATAATTTAAATTGTTTAAATTCCATAAATTATAAACTTGTTTTATGTTAATTTGTCTTTTCAAGACCTAATATTAAAATGAAATAAATTCAGTGGTTACAAAGAAGTACCAAGGGCTAAATATAAGGAGAAAATGGTCTTTGACATTAATTGATCAGTACAGAAAATAACCAGGTTTGGATGAAGTATCCTTTTCTATATTTTGTTTTTATATGTTCATGTTAATTCCTGAAGTACTTAAGTTGGAAATAAGAGGAGTGAAACTGGGCACTCATGAGTATTCTCTAAGGAGCTCCCGATACATCTAAATTGTTGAGCACAGTTTTGTCTCTCTTTTTATGCAATGTCCCAGGCTAACATAAATCAAACAGTTGTGACTTATCAAAGACCTGGCTTTACGTCCAGTCCTATCACTCAAATGCACACTCTTAGAAAATTCAGCCTTGCTGAACTTTAGTTTCCTAGTGAGAAAGAAATAAGAGCTTGTTTCACTATGCTTTTAAAAGAATTACATGAGATAAAACTCATGAAAGTGATTTATGGAGTATGTATAATTTTTTTTTTTTTTTTGGTTGGTGCTGGGGATGAAACCCTGGGCCTTGAGCATGCTCAGTAAGCACTTTACCACTGACTATACCCTCAACCTAACTTAATGACTAATGGCTGAATTTTAAAGCATTTGTCTGTCATGTTAATATTTATTAAAACTATAAAGTTTTAAATATATTTGAGTTAGAATCAAAATGAACCAAAAAATTAGCCCCCTGCCTCCAGTAGAGAAGTTCTTGACTTGTGTTTATAGCTTGTTTTTGACAATATACAATTTGTGTGTATATTATGATATAGGTTTTATAATATACTGATGTTTTGAAAGATTTTTTTTAATATATATTTTTTAGTTGTATGTGGTCACAATATCTTTTATTTGTTTATTTTTATGAGGTGCTGAGGATTGAACCCAGGGCCTCACACATGCAAGGCAAGTGCTCCACCACTGAGCCACAGCCCCAGCCCTTGAAAGTTTTAATTGTGGACTTTTATGTAGAAAACCATTTATATGTGTTTATATAAGGCATATCTATATATGCGATTGTATATATACATATTTATTATTAGAAAAATGACAGAGATATATAGATCTTAAATGTTTGGCATGTTGTGAACTATTTTGTACTTTAGGGTTATCTGATGTTAATGATATTAATAATACTAATTTATCAATGATTATTTGGTGCTAAGCCTTTTTTTTCTCCCAGTGAATGTTATTTTTCTTTGTTCTTTTTTTCACTTTTCACACTTTTTATTGGTGCATTATAGTTGTACACAATGATGGGATTTGTTGTTATGTATTTATACATAGTGCTAAGCCTTTAAAAAAATTTTTTATGCATTAATTTTATTTATTTATTTTTATGTGGTGCTAAGGATCGAACCCAGAACCCAGAGCCACAACACCAGCCCAGTGCTAAGCCTTTTTATAACATAGGATCTCATTTAATTTTAATCCTCAGAGCAATATTCAGAGGATTTGTTATTATTATCCTACTTCCATTTTACAGGTGAGGAAATGGAACGTTCCCTGTGATCATGTAGGTAGCAAATGCTACAATCCTGCACCCTTGCTCTTAAGTGTCCATAATGCTCTATAAACTATGTAATTCCCATAGAAACCTAGAAAATGAATTTCTAAAGAAGTTTTCAATTTACAGAAATGGCAAAAGCTATGATGTATCATTTTGGGACTGATGTTGATTTTGGTTAAGTTGAATATTTTAGAAATAGTAAGCAATTGGAATGGAATAGAAACGAAGGCATTTATTTGGGACAATGCCTGTTTTCTTCTTCATTGTGTACCCATTGCCACACATGGTTCCTGGAATGGAGTAGGTTTGTTGTCTGTTGCTTAAAGTGTGGAAGTTGGGCACTTATGATGATAAGTTATTTTGTAAATTTTCTTAGTTTATAGTCACTGTTTTAGTCAGTCCTTACATAATTGTCAGCACTTTAGAATGTCAGGAAAGTGGTCCTTTCTTTTAAAAACTATTATAAAAGCAGTGTTATCTGAGTTACAAAAGTCATTCTAGCAATACAGATATGTATAAAGTAGAAAATTTAAGTTGCCTTATTTCCATCCTACTTTTAAGCTTTTACTGGGCATTTGCATGTGTAATTCACACACACACATTTTAAGATTAAATGTAATTATATCATAATACTATCTTAAAAGTTTACTTTTTTCAGGTGACTGTTTGAAAAAAAAACTTGCTTTGTGTGAGTGGGGTGATTAAAGAGAAGTGGGAGAGATTTGTACATTAAGGACATAAACCAAATGCCCTAGACTGATTGTTACCTATGGGGCAAAGAGCATTTTAAGTTCTTTTTGTCTCATACCTTTAGATGTGGTCATTGTTATTATTGAAACTTTAAAAAAATGCTAGCCAGTTCAAGGTGACAGCACTGTTTTCCATCCTGTAAAAGTAATTTAGGAGGCATCATTTTAGAATTTAATTCTTCTAGTTTGTTCTGTTAGCTCCTTAAGAAGAGTTATGTTTTCAGGTGACTTTTTTTTTTTTTCCCCTGAAAGCTAGTGGTACCTTCTTTGTTGTTAAGAAGGATTGATTCAGGGTTGGGAATGTATCTCAGTGGTAGAGTGCTTACCTGGCATGTGTGAGGCACTGGGTTCAGTCCTTAGTACCACATAAAAATAAATAAATAAAATAAAGGTATTTTAAAAAGCATTTATTTATAATTTGCAAAAATTATTCATAATTTTTTAAATTCAAATTTTTTATGAATTTAAAAATTTAAATTTATAAATTTAAAACCAAGATAATATTAAATTATTTGATATTTTAAAAAATATCTTGTTTATTAATTTATTTTTATGTGGTGCAGAGGATCGAACCCAGTTCCTCACACATGCAAAGCAAGCACTCTACCACTGAGCTACAGCACCAGTTCTTGATATTTTAAATAATAGAAACTCAAACCTGTGCAACTTAATCAGCATGAAGAAACCCTGCCTAGGAATTAGTCYTGGTGCTCACAGCTTCATGAGTAGTATTGGCTGACCTCACCTCCTCTACAGATTCTACTCAAATACTACCAAATGCTATATTAATAACCCAGTATTTTTTAAGGAAGTTTAAGAAAAAAAGGTAAATTATTTGAGTACTGTTCAATTTTAGACTGGCTTCAAGAGTTTTAAACTTGTTGCTAAGTTTATTAATCATGATTCACTTTTGTAATATTTAAATTGAAAACTTTTATTAAATAGTTTATAAGTTTTTCATTATAGTAGTTTTTTTGAAAGCCTTTCTAATCCTAGAATATACTTCTTGCATTTAAAATGCTTTATGCTTCTTTAGACTGAACATTTAGTGAAGTGCTAATGAAGCCTTGCTTTAAAATTCTAAGAATTGGGCTAGGCGTGGTGACACACACCTGTAAACTTCATATTTGAGGCTAGCTCTGCAATTTAGCAAGGTCTGTCTCAAAATTTAAAAAAGGGCTAGGGTTTACAATAGTAGAGTGCAAGGACCTTAGCATGTGCATGGCCCTGGGTTTAATATCCAGAATCAGGGTTTGGGATGAGGAGGAGAAATTCTAAGAACTGGATCTGATAGGGTATAGCGATAGTAAGTTATGGTACAGTCCATGTTTTAACAAAGCAAGTTAAGAATATTTCTCATTTGTAGCATTCATAAATGTGCTTTTCATTTTGAGTGGCTCAGACCATGCCCTAGAGTGTGTTTTCTCCTTTCTTATAATAGTCTTCTGAATGTACAAAAGACTCAGGTAATGTCATAGATGGTGAAACTGAGGCAGAGAAAAGAACTTAAATTAATGATAGAGTCTAATTTCACTATAATTTTAATTCCAGTATTTTTTTTCCCCTTTTGCTATTATGGGGGATTGGACCCAAGGGTGTTCTACCACTGAGCTATATTCCCAACCATTTTTTGGGGGGCGGGTACTGGGAATTGAACTCAGGGGCACTCAACCACTGAGCCACACACCCTCAGTCCTGTTTTGTATTTCTTTGGAGACAGGGTCTCATTGAGTTGCTTAGCACCTCGCTTTTGCTGAGGCTGGCTTTTAACTTGCGATCCTTCTGCTTCAGCCTCCCGAGCAGCTGCGATTACAGGCATGCACCACTGTACCCTGCTCCAACCATTTTTTTWAAAAACATTTTTATTAGTTATTGATGGACCTTTGTTTGTATGTGGTGCTGAGAATCAAACTCAGTGCCTCACACATGCTAGGCAAGTATTCTATTATTGAGCCACAACCCCAGCCCCCCAACCATCTTTATTTTTCATTTTGTGACAGAATCTCACTAAATTGCCCCTGCTGGCCTTGTGATCCTCCTGAATAGCTGGGATCACAGGTGTGTACTACTGTGCCCAGTTAGTCTTGGTCATCTTGACCTGTAGTCTCCAATCTTTCTAAAATTAGGACGCTAATAAATGTGTAATGGTCTGAACTAGTATTTTATGTAAGTTATCAAACATAAAGGAAAATTGAAATTTTAAAAAGGATCAGATTTAAAAATACAAGTTGTGATAATTTCCTGTGACTCCTTTCCTCAGGCTGCACACACCCACTTGGAGACTGGTGTTCTAGATAGGCCATTCCTCCTGCAGAAGAGCCAGCCATGGAGACAGCTGGAGGACAGTTGGTAAAAGGTGTGGGGCTTTTAAATTGCAGTGATCTTTTGTGGTTTTTTAATTTTAAAGAAACAGCCTTTATTTCTGTAAAAGACTGAAAGATTGAGAGTAAAGGCCTTGAGAGAGGTGAGCTTAAAAGACAGAAATAAGCCTTATTTGTTTTCTTCAGAGTTGAAAGGGAAAGGCTGCCTACCCTGTGAGCTCCCACTCCCATAGAGATKGCAGTGCCTTTTCTGTTGTTGTTAGGCAGTTTATAGAACGCAGGATAGCTTGGTAAGCGTCTTCTCTGTGCCTGATATGACGTAACATTGTAGAGTATGCAGCATGCATGTTAAGTACAAGTGGTTGTATTTGGCTTGTTGCTGCAGCATTTTTTGAGGATGTCTTAAAAAGCAATTATCACTTGATAGGGTTGGATATGTGCAGATTATTGAAATCATCATTTCATAGAGACCAAACTTTGTAACTTGAATTATTCTATTTAGTATTTGCTTATTTTGTCCCCACCCCCAGTACCTCAGAACAGAATTCCTTTTCTGAAAAGAACAGATGCTGTTAACTTATCAGGACTTGATACTAAAAAGCCTGCAAAAATCTTTGTGCTGTTTATTTTTTTAATTTAATCTATATGCAAAGCATATTGTAATTATTGCTGTTGGAGGTTTGTAAGTTGATGGTTCCTTCCCACTCTTTTTGTGCTCAGAGGAGATAGATTAGGTATGCCAAATTGACAACTTGGTATAAAGAAATAATGACCACTGAAATAAAACAGGAGTTCAAATAAAAAGCAAACCAGCTACAAATGTAGAATGAAAATATCTTTTAGTAAAATGTTAGCATGCTGTACTTGGAACAGATGCCACATTAATTCAAAAGAGAGCCCAGAAAATGTGGCAACTTTACGATGTCAATGGAGGGAGCTGCAATAGTTCTTGTTTTCATTGTGTAGAGTTCCCAGTACCTCCAGGTCCAGTCCTATTCTGTATATTTATTTCCTGTGTGTATTACATGTTAATATACAAATATCAAGTCCATGATTAATATTTTTATTTGGATAATATTTAATTATGTATATTTAACATTGTCTTACTAGTAGACTTTAGAGTAAGAAGCCCATTAACTTGTAATACAGCAGTAATAATTTTTGTTTGAAATATGCATGTGAAGATATTTAGAATTTGAGGAAAAAATGTACTTTTCCCCACACTCTTCAAGGCACATTGATGATAAAAAGCTAGTCTAAGAATTGAGTCTTTCAAAGAGGCCTAGTGCTTTTTAAATGTAGGATTTGGACAAGTTACAAAATTATGAGAATTTTGCATTTATTTTTTTCTCATTTAAATTTGTAGTTATCATTGGACATTTGTTATGGTTTTTAAGTAGCTTAGACTCATTCATTCCTTTGTGTGTGTGTGTGTGTGTGTGTGTGTGTGTGTGTGTGTGTGTGTGTGTTTGTTTTATGATGCTTGGGAAGGAGACAGGGTGATGGAAGGATAGTATACCCAGTTGGATATTTCCAGAGTGACATTCATTTTATAGAAGATTGTATTGGGACATCTCTGGATTGCCTGTTTCCTACAGTGCATGGTTAGTGTGGGTCTGAGCGTGGAGAGAGGCGGGCTGAGGGCTTTTAACCAGATTTACAGAGTGCTACTTCCTGAGCAGGGCCATGATCTAATCGCTGGGGATGTATTCTCTGTGCCTGTAAAGAAGTCTGGTGTGCATACTTAGAAAAGCACTCCTAGTTTTCTCATAATTAATCCAAGTGTACAATTTAGTAATTTGGTGAAAGGTTAAAAGTTTTGTTTTTGTGTAATTCACATGAAGGAAGTTTTTTTTCATGGCAGTAGTATATAATGCTTGAGTCTTGGTGCAGGAGCCAGTCTTCATGGATTCAAATCCTGGCTTTGCCATGTGTTTACTCTGTGACTGTAGCTTTTGTCCCTTCACCTTCTGTGTCTCTTGTCTTTGTCTGTAAAATGTGAATAAATAAAAGTTCCTGCCTGCTGTGGTTGTTCTAAGGAATAAATGGATTAATGTATAAACTAGTAGAAATAAGTACTGATTAAACGGAACTGATCTTTAGGTCTCTGCTCTTTTCTTCCCTTCTCAGGGATTAAGACAAATGTTCCACTTTGGGAAAGGAATCTCAGCTTTGTGGTCTGACCCTCAAGTTGGAATTTCAGTCCATCCACTTTAATGTATGCACGTTAGAGTATTTAAGCTTCCTTCAATAAAGATGTGTCACGTGTATAACTGCATACCAGCCCCTGTGCTGGTCACTTGAACTTCAGTTCCTTTATCTGTGACACAGGGACACAGGGATGATAATACCAACCTCCCTATAGTTTATGTGAACATAAAATGAGGAACTCTTAGCTGGGTGTGGTGGCTCACACCTGTAATCCCAGAGACCTGGGAGGCTGAGGCAGGAGGATGGCAAGTTCAGAATCAGTCTCTCAACAACTTAGTGAGACCTTATCTCAGTAAAAAAAATAGTTCAATAGTAAAGTGCCTCTAGGTCAATCCTAGTACCAAAAAAAAAAAAAAAAAAAAAAGGAACTCTTACAGACAATAAATAAGATCTGCTATTTATTATTGTTATAGTCCCATTAAAAGTTTATGGGAAAAGAATAAATATGGAACAATTTAGCTGGAAAGTAGAGTTTTTTTTTTCCCCTCTTCCTGAAATGCCATGATAAGAAAATGGCATGATGATAAAAGTGTATCTAAGGAGTTCTTATTTTTGAATACCTCTAGGAGAAACAGAAAATATTTGGGAATATGTCAGTATTAACAGAGCCTTTCAAAAATATTTCAGGGTGCTTTATTAAAACTTAGTGATATAAGCTTTTCTTTCTTTATATTCCTTCCCCTCAGCAACTGATGAGACCACTGACAAGATACTCTGTAGTTTATCATAGAACACTTAGCACCACTTAGCATCAAGTCAATAATAGACTAGATGTTAGAACTCAAAGTCCAAAATATTAATCAGCTGGTCAGTCCACTGGGTCTGACACATTGTGTATGTTAACCTTAACTTGTTATGGGTGCAGTAACTAAAAGGAAGGGCTGTATTACCTGAGAGTTTGAAAGGGATATACATGCTTTCTAGTACTTATGGGCAGAGTTTGCTTTTGGGGGCATATTGTCTTTATGAAATCTCCTTTCATCTGATGTCTGGTTTTTTCTTACAGTGATCGTTATTTTTTTTCTATATTTAATTGTCATAATACACACACACGCGCGCACACACACACACACACACAAACACAAACATTCTTTTGGTACTGGGGATTGAACTTGGGCACTTTGCCACGGAGCTACATGAGCTACATCCCCATCCCTTTGTTATTTTTATTTTTAATACAAGGTCTCACTATATTGCTGAGGCTGGCTTCAAACTTGCAATTCTCCTGATTCTTCCTCGCAAGTCACTGGGATTACAGATGTGCATCACCATGCCCAGCTCATGTGGAACCTAGAAATTGGGCCTGAGAACAAGATGATTATGAGAAAAGCCACAGTGAATTCTTTTCAGAATTGAGGGTTATTATTTTTGGTTAGAGAATTGAGTTTTTAATATATCCATTAGAATGTGTGCCTCCCTCCACCCCTTGAAAGTAAAACCAGTAATTGACAGAAGGGAAAAGATTAAGTATAAACATAATTTTTTCATTTACTACTGATTTGGATTGGAAATTTTTTTGATGCATGATCTGTTTTTTTTTTTTCCTGTAGGAGTCAATAAGTATACAGTATTTGTAATAGCTTATCAGAATATCCTGAATATGGTATATGTTATGGTATATGTTATATGCAAGCATTTGATTAGAAGTCTATTTCATGTAAATAAATATAGGTATTTGAAATAAGCTACAGCCAGGCATGGTGGCACATGCCTACGGGAGACTGAGTAGTACAAGTAACTAATATCTTCCATTATCTTTTTGTTCTCATTTACCCAGCTATACCATTTGGTAAAGGCCTAGTAGGTGAATAACTTGATTTACTGTATTTTATTCTGTGTTCCTAACATTGTTTCAGCTTTGTGAATAGAAATTCCAACACTTTTTTTGATAATGCTATACTTCAGCTCACCAAGCATTTTAAAAATTAATTTTATAGTAGACTGTATAGTTTTCTTTTTTTTAAAAAAAATATTTTAGTTGTAGTTGGATACAGTATACCTTTATTTTTCTTTATTTTTATGTGGTGCTGAGGATTGAACCCAGGACCTCACACATGCTAGGTGAGCGCTCTACTGCTGAGCTACAACCCCAGCCCCTGTATAGTTTTCTTTCAGTTAAAAAACTTATAATGACTTAAGTAAAGTTTTGTAGTTCTAAAATTAGCATAACATGAATAATATTAAAGATTGTGTGTGTTCATGCATGTGCGTGTAGTACTAGAGATTGATCTCGGGCCTTATGCATGCTAGGCAAGTGCTCTACTACTGAAATATACCCCCAGCCCTGTACAACATTAAATTATCTTTAGCTACATGCAGGATCTATAAAAGTTGCTTCACTTGGTTGAATGAAATTTTGGAACTTTTAGAAGTCTATTTCATGTAAATAAATGAAGGTATTTGAAATAAATTACATCCAGGCATGGTGGCACATGCCTGTAAGGGAGACTGAGGCAGGAGTAGTACAAGTTCCAGGCCAGCTTGGGAAATGTAGTGATGTAGCTCAGTGATAGATCATCTCTGGGTTTAGTCCCCAGTAATGCACATAGACACAGGCACACACACTCACACACATATACACCAAAACAAAACAAAGGAAAGTAGAGTCTACCAGTATCTTTGGGGTTGATTTAAAGAATGACACAGTTTTGAAAACCAGTTTGTCCCTGCTGAGCTTGTAAAGGGCAGTGCCGCTTATGCTGGGTGTGCTACTGCTCTGAGTGCGCAGGTTCTGTCCAGTTGGCAGCCCCTCTGCTACTTTATAGGAAGGTGCTGCCATTGGCTGCCTCAGCTCCCTCCGTTGCCTTTCTGCTTCCCTCTTCTCCACGCACTCTTGGCTATTCCTCCTGCCTGTACTCTGTCCTGTCTACTGTTCATCATTCCCTCCAAAGCTATTACCATTTTCTTTCTTTTTCTCTAAAAACAAAACACCATTGTAATCGTTAGTTTTTAAGCAAAAGAGCTGTTCCCAACACTGCAAAGTTTTAGCAGTTTGCGTGTCCCCTTCTTCCTTCATGTTTGGGCACTCAGCCAGGATTTGGGATAATATAGCTCAAAATCACTTGCAAATTAACTAAATATTTGTGAAACGTTTTATGTTGGACTAAGGGAGAGAGTAGAAAAAGACCTTTTACCCCAGAAGTTGGTGTATTTTCTTAAAGATGATGAGTGAGAGGCAAATGGTCGGATTTGTTACTTAACTAAGATAAGCTCTAATTTATTAGATTGCCCTCTGTAGTCCTATGAACCTAATTGGAGAAGAAAATGGAAATTTTAATGTTGGTGATTTTGAAAATATTTTTATTATTAATGGAGAGGAATAGAATGTTTTTCTTTAGGTTTTAAAATACAAAATATGGCTATGATACCTTATTATCATGTATTAATCTTTTATATTTCATTAGTTGATAGTTGCAAAATAGTGGACCCTTTCTTTTACAGATTTGTCTTAGTGCTTTTGAATTGTTACCTGAATTACTTGGTGAGAAAAGTAAAAATTGGCAATTAATTGTGCCTACATGTTAAGTTATTGGAAATGTAGTATTTAAATTCAGTGGCTTCTAAAATTTATACCAGGTCTTTTGTCCACTATTAAGTTATGCACAGAGAAAAACATTTGAAACAAGAACCTTAAATTCATAGGATTAATTTTTTTTCTCTCTTTATTTTTCTTTTTAAAGTATTGGGGATTGAACCCTGGGCTTTGTACATATGCCAGGCAGTTCTCTTTTACTGAGCTACATTCCCAGCCCTTTTTATTTTATTTTCAGACAAAGTCTCACTATGTTGTGCAGGCTGGTCTTGAACTTCCTGCTTTAGCCTCTTGAGTAGCTGGAATTACAGGTTTGCACCACTATGGCTGACTTAAAACTTCATTATGGAAATTTAAAGACACACAAAAGTAGAGTGAGTAATATAACAAAACCTATGTATTTATTACCTAACTTCAACACTTATCAGTATTTTGCCAGTCTTTATCTGTAGTGTATATAGCATTACCAAGATAGTAATTTTGTTTTCAAAACATGCATTGCAAATAGATGCACTGGTAAACTCAAAAGAAAAAAGGTGTGAGAGAATGTTAACTCTTTTCATACATTGCAAGTCTTCCTAAATGACTGGGAATCCCTTTTAGGATAATATTGTTTTATTTGTCTTTTAACTTATTGAAGATATCTTAGCCATCACTGACTTAATGAAGAACCATATATGTAGGAAAGCTTTTTGTTTTTCTTATCCCTTCAGTTTTTAAAACTGCAATACTTTTGCTTTTGAATTTGCTGTTCTTACGAGTTACATTTTGTTTTGGTGAATTACTATATGTCAACTTTAAGTTGTAAATCACTGAATCTTGTTCTGTGCTTGTGCATATTCTGTTTCTATTTAACTTGAATGTGTGTATTATGGAATATATATTGTAATTTATAGTTTGTGGAGGAGGGAATTTTGACTGTCTACTAACTTTAAACTTGGTAACATTGATGAGGAACTTTCGTCATTTGCTCCCTTGTTTTGCTTCTCTTTGGAGCAGCAAGATATGCATGTGCCTGCAGCTGGGGGCCTGTTCATTACTACAAGGTGATGGTAGCCTTATTTCTGAATTTCTTTGGTTTTTATTAGTTTAAATTAGACCCACAGGGGTAATTATTCCACCCCAATGCATGAGGAAGCCTAGTCAGTGGAAGTTGTGTGTATAAAACCCTGTATAGTGCATTGAAAATGTATCTTTAATGTTACGATATTGTTCAGCATATGTAGTTTAGTGCAGGAGTGTACTTATTTAACAGGACCTTTAATAAGCTCCCTCTACACCAAAGATATATTTTWAAAAATTATACTTAAGAAGACTTTGTAGTATTCCCCAGTAGAGTTCATCTAGAGCAGTGAAACCTTTCTAAAATAAAACTTATTCCTTTAACCGGTATTCATTTAAGTGGGTTTCTCTGTACTTGGTTTCCATGGAAATAGCGAATCGCTAACGTTATTTATAAGGTGGAAGTAAAATAGGGTGCCTAATGGGACCCCATGCTGCTCTGATGAAGAGACTTAGGAAAAAAAAAATCCACGCTCATGGGATTTTTTTTTTTTTTTATACAAGGTTAATGGAAGCTCTGATTTTAGTCTTCTATAACAGAACATATTTTTGGTTTTAGGCTAGCATTAATATCAAGCAAACAACTTCTTTTTGAGGTCTGTATTGCTTTCACTTTCAAGTTTTAGGACCACTTACTTCTCAGGGTGATTGAGGCTTTATGCTTCAGACTTCTGTTTCTTTGTGGTTTAAAAGTTAAAATTTCCATCATATTGTAACTGTTTCAATTTCTCATCGACATTTCAAAGTACAGATAAAAAGATAAATGTTCATTAATGATAGCAGTGATGATAAAGAACCAACATGTTGGACTACACAGACTTCTTCAAAAAATGTAAATCGTATGGAAYCATTTTTAGTTTCTAGGCCTTAAGTCAAGGTTCTTTATTTGTGTTGCTAAACCTGTGTAGCTGGAGAGAAAAGATTCTAATTTTCTTTGGGGATGGAAACAGGGAAAATCTTAATTTCTCTTTCCTTTTAAAAAGGTGGATTGTTGCCAAAGCCATTTTAACTAAAATAAACGTTCATTCTTTCAGTCTTTGAAATGTGGATTTGGGATAAACCTTGGCTTTCCTTCACTTTTTTGGTAAGGCCTACTCTTAGTTTTCTAGGCCTACAGTAAAACCTTGCATTTCTAAAGCCCTTCAAGTGAACAAGTGTCATTCCCTTTGTGTTTGGGTGTGTGTATCTGTCTGTCTGTCTCATTAATTTTCCCAAAGCCTGAAAGGCACCTGCTCATTTTCCATCCTGGTAAGTACAGCAGTTCTAACCTGAGAGGGAGGCAGGATGGAACACAACAAGGTGCTCTAATTTTTGTTTATTTAGTTTTGTTTGTCCTCAGCAGCTTGTATTTGTTATCCTCCGTTATCCGTTTGTCTGGAAGCACTCTGATTTTTCTTGTCTATCACTGCAGCAGGAATTTTCTTCTGTGTTTAAAAGCAAAGATTGTAGTGTACTTAAAGCTGCATCAGGGGAGGAGTTTTTGTTTTATGTGTGTTTCTTTGGATAAACTTCTGACTGTAGTTGGATTTATTGTGCTTTAGTTTTTAAAAATTTGGCTATTCTAATCTTCCCTGAATTTATTTTTGCATGAGGTATTTAATCTCCAACAATTCACTGATTTCTTCTCTGCATGTTGATGCTATTTAATAAAATTTTCTTATTTTTTTTTAGCTTCGTTTTTTTCTTGTATATTTTCTTAATCTCGTGTTTACCAGTGACCTTCCTAAATGACTTATTTGAATTATCTTTGTGCTCTGGAGACATAGGAATTTGGGATTATTATCCCATTTCTGAGCGAACAATTCCCAGTAGTTGYAGTTAGTGCAATAGAAGGGTTTTCACAGATGCAGTACTGGGCATTCATCCTCCTCCTTGGTGCTTATGCTTTATGCTCAGAACTCCCATTAGTGTTAATAGGAGGCACTTGCTTAAATCCCTATACACCAAGATAAGCCCAAACTCTTTTATAATGCCTTGTAGATACTAAGTTGTTTTTTTTTGTTGTTGTTGATGGCAAGAATTTTGGTGTTGAGGTTAACTGACTATTAAAATAGAATTTGAGTTGTCTTGGGATATGGAATGATTTATTAAGTCTGATATGTAATTAAGAAGTTTTCATTATGATTAAACTCAAAACATTTACAGTTTTGTGAGCTGTAGAAGTTTGTGAATGGGGATTTTTGTACTTTAGCATGATGAAGCAAGATTTCTTCCTTCCGTTTACTTCTGCTACTCCTCAACTACAGAAGAAATGATTTTGACGGTTTTTGTATGTGTTGTAAGAGGACTTGGTAACTTTTTTTTTTTAAACTTAATAAGTTTCCCACCATTACTCTGTCAGCTTGTGTGGCTTATATTTTTCAAGCATAAAGAAGTTAATGTGTATTGCTGGTCAAGTATTAGATAATCACTGTTTACTATACCTGCCTGGGAATTGTAGATTTTTATTACTTTCATTTATTTATAT